GAAACCTGTATTGTTGAAGCTTTGTGAGTGAAGCATGTAGTTTGAGGTAGTGTTCCCTTAATTTCCCGAGTGAGGAAAACTTCTCGGTTGGAGACTTGAAAAATCCAAGTCACTGAGTGGTTGTGAGACTTTTGCCGAGTATCAAGGTGCAGTAGCATATGGTGGGAGTTCCCCCAAGTCTTCAGGCGAAGAGAGTTGACCGAATGAGGTGTCTAGCTAGTAGTCAATGTCGTGAGTAGGAAAAACTTCACTTGTTTTGTTTTCGAAGTGGTAACCCAGGGCTCTTTTCTTTCATATATTGTTTTTTGTTATGAAGATGTGTTAGGCCCAAAAAGTGGAGGCCTAGGCCCTTTTTTTTTTTTTTTTTTTTTTTTTTTTACTCCCTTTTTTCTTTGGAATGTTTATACAGATATCTATAATGTGGCCTTTGTCATGATTTTGGAGGATGGGTGTATTCGAATCCAATGGAGGGGTAGGGTATGACCCATTATCATGTGCCATGATTTTGTCTTCCTTTTAGCTTTTTTTTTTTTACTTTGCTTTACATTTTTGCTTTCCTTTAGTCTTCCTTTAGCTTTTCTTCAATATAACACCATTTCTGTGGCTCAGATCGCAAAACCATCTTCATGAAAGTTGTTCCTTAGCTCGTGAACTACAACATATCCGAATTGGAGATCCATCGGAGCAGTACAACTCCAGAAATTCAGGTATGATGAGTGATTGTTCGTCATTTGTATATCAACGCGTCAGACTTGTTGTGAGCTTCAAAAACTCCATTTTCTCTTGCTCAGATCAACATACTTTCTCTTCATCGAAGTTGTTCCTTAACTTGTGAACTACAACATATCCAAATTTGAGGTCCCTCGGAGCAGTATAACTCCAGAAATCCAGGTATGATGAGTGACTGTTTATCATTTGTCTGTCAACCCGTCAGATTTGTTTGTGAGCTTTGAAACTCTATTTTCTCTTGCTCAGATCAGCATGCTTTCTTCATTGAAGTTGTTCCTCAGCTTGTGAACTACAACATATCCAAATTTGAGATCCCTCGGAGCAGTATAACTCCAGAAATTCCAGGTATGATGAATGACTGGTTATTATTTTCTGTCAACCCGTCAGATTTGTTGTGAGCTTTGAAACTCTATTTTCTCTTGTTCAGATCGGTATGCTTTCTTCATTGAAGTTGTTCCTCATCGTCTCTTTCATAACATATCAAAAATTCAGAATGAACTAATGGTTAAATATTTCCAGATCTTCGAAACATCACAGCAGCTTCGAAATCTGCAAGAATCCGACTGTCATGTTTGGAGCTTCAACACTTTAATTTCCGTCGCTCAAACAGAAATGGTTCCTTCTTGAAAGTTGTTCATATGCTCAAGAACTATAGGGTGTCCAAAATTCAGCTCCATTGGAGAAGAGCAGAGGTTGCAGAAATTTGATAGATGAAAGGAGGCGGAAGAGGGAGAGAGAGAGAAAAGTCTCTTGGGTTGGATTTCTATTTTGGGGCAGATTCCAATTTTTGTAGCACCTTCATTATTGATGAATTGCTTGTACTTTTGTCCATTATGAAACTTGGGACTTTGGCTTGTTGTTGGATCTATTATAATATGTTTGGGAACATATATAAGTGAATAAATAAGAAGGAAAATTTTGGGCCCTTGTGGGTGTAAAACAAAAAATGTTTATGTTTACCCAAGTGTTTTTGTACAAGTTCAAGGGCATCTTGGGTTTTGTGAACAAAATTTGTTTATTTGGAGCAAGGTTTTGTGTTGAAGCTTTGTAGGTGAAGCTTTTGGTGTTGAAGCTTTCTAGGTGAAGCTTTGATGTAGATGAAGCTTTGTAGATGAAGCTTTGTAGGAAGCTTTGGTGAAGCTTTGATGGTGAAGCTTTGATGGTGAAAGTATGTAGAGGGAGCTTTCTAGGTGAAGCTTTTTTAGGTGAAGCTGTGTAGGTGAAGCTTTTTTAAGTGAAGCTTTTCGGGTGAAGTTTTTTGGGTGAAGCTTTGTGGGTGAAGCTTTTTAGGTGAAGCTTTGTGGGTGAAGCTTTTTTAGGTGAAGCTGTTTGGGTGAAGCTTTTGGAGGTGAAGTTTTTTTTTTTTTTTTGGGTGAAGCTTTTTTAGGTGAAGCTTTTTGGGTGAAACTTTTTGGATGAAGCTTTTTGGGTGAAGTTTTGGAGGTGAAGCTTTTCGGGTGAAGCTTTTTGGATGAGCTGTTTGGAAAGTCGAGGTCTTCTCGTTTAGGTGAGTCTGGCTTCCACCTCCCACTTGTTGATAAAGGATGGTTGTAGGGGTTTCTCCTGATATGTCTTTGCTTCGGCGGAGGCATGGTTATAAGCCTGCGCCATCACCTCAGAGTAAGTCTTCCAAGTATGGCATTGATCATGTATTTAAAGAAACAATCACGTAGGCCTGCGTGAAGGCTTTGAGGGCAGTCTTGTCGTCTGCCTCGGCACACCGGGAGTATTCATGGCTGAAGCGGCCAGCATACATACGTAATGACTCGTCTGGCTTCTGGCGGATAGTGTACAGGTCATCAATTTAGAGCTCCGCCAGAAAGGGTGGAGGGGAAGAGAAGACATCGCTCTTCGTCGGTGTGCATCCGGTATGCCATGGTGGACTCAAAGAGGTTAAGGTGCTCAATCGGGTCCTCTTTCCAGTATAAAGTTGCAAGCCAAGCTTCTGCTTTGTCTTTGCTTGAATGGGGGTGTTGAGGATCCTCCTTGTAAGAGGGCCAGGCCTGGGTTGGTTCCAGTCAGGTATTTCAGCCGACGTTCAGCCTTCAACTTGTTTACTTCCTCAAGAAGTTGTAGGACAAGGGGGTCCTGAGCGGAGTTATGTGCCACTGGAGCTTTCTTTCGTAAATCTCCATCTCCTCTTGGAATTAGGAAGGTTTGATCAAGGGCATGTGATTTTTCCCTGGACTCGCTGTACTGCTTCCAGGGTATGTCTGTCGGAACACCTCTGAGTCCCCTGTACCCTCATGTCTCTCTAGGACTTGTTTGCCCCTTCCCCAAGTTGGTGGCCGGCTCGGGCCGTGCAGGGGACCGAGTCTCTCAGAAATCCTTGGGTCATTGATCTTTGAGCTTATATGGATGGAATTCTCTCGACGTTGCTTCAGGAAATCCGACAATCGCGAAAGACGGCTTTCGATCCTTCTGCCCCTTCAGCAAAGAGGTGTCTCCCTCCGCTTCTCATGGTTCGGGTCGAAGCAACTGGGTTAAGAGAAGCCTCATGTTGATTATCAAATCGAGGGTAATTTGTTCCCTATCAGGGATATCTATGTCGAATGCATGTGACCCTCCATGTTGGAGGGCACCCAGTTGATGGTTGACTTCCACGGGGCAACAAGCTCGCGTGTCTGAGCTTGCCTAGCTTCGTGGAAGTGTCTCGAAGAGCTTCTCATATTGCTCCTGGAGGACCTCATTCCTCATTGCTATCTTGTTGTTCTGAGCTTCCAACTCATCGACTTTAGCTTGAAGAAGAACTCGTTTTCCTTCCTTCTTTCGTTGTTTCGCACTATGTGCAAGGGGGGTGTCATTCTGTGTGCTGTGGCTTCCTTCGCTTCCCATGCTGGAGAGGGATGCCTGATCAAAAGAAAGTGTACGAATGATAGAAACCAGCTTGACACAGCTGAAGAGAGTAGGAATAAGTGTCGTTTCCCACAGACGGCGCCAAATGTTGATGCACAAAATCAGCGAAGACTTTGGTACAACAGAAAGTGTCAGGTTTTGTGACCTTCGCTTGGTTGCTTCCGTCACTAGTGAGGATAAGTACGTAAATGAATAGAGACAGAGAAGCAAACACAGGATGTACGTGGTTCACCCAGATTGGCTACGTCCACGGAGTAGAGGAGTTCTTATTAGTAGTGAAGGGCTTACACAAGTACAAAGGATCAAGCTCTCAATTTAGTGAGTTCTTGTGAATGATTTAACACAAAATGGCATTAGGCAATATTGTGGGGGAATGACCCCCTATTTATAGAAAAACTTGTAGCTTTGTCACATTGACATGTGTCATGTTATGATTGGTTCTTGATGTCGACACGTGCTGCGCTCTGATTGGCTTCTAATCTTGACACGTGTCGAGTAGTGATTGGCCTCCTGGTCGGAGGGGAACTCTTCTGGGTCCTTGACAGTATAGCGTTGGCCGGTGCTCGGTAGTTTCGGGATTGGTCAAGTATGGTACAAACACTATCAATTGATTCATGCACATCTATCAAGCTCTCCTTCACAATCGAATTCACAATATGTGTATAGCATCGCATGTGTAAACATTCACCATCTAACAAATTCCCAGTAAAATTTTTTAGCTTTATTTTTATAGAGTTCATAGCCGCATCATTCGCATTATCAATAGAAACTGTCAACACTCTTTCTATACCCCCAATCAACTAAACACGACGCAATGATTTCTCCAACTGTCTCCTCATTATCATCAGGTACTTGGCAAAAGTTCAACATTTTCCTATGAAGCTTCCAATCACTATCAATAAAATGGACCTTCAGAGCCATGTAGTCGATCTGTTGCATAGAAGTCCATGTTTGGGTGGTAAGGCATATAGAAACTGACTTTTCATTCACATTAATTAATTACAACAATACAAGATGATATATATAGACACAGTCTAGCTACACTAGTGCCCTTAGTTTCCAAAGCTAATTACACAAATACCATATCTAATGGGTTACAGTTATAACTAATCAGTGACTTGTTTGGATGATTTGGCATCTGTCTCAATACACCCCCTCAAGCTGAGCTTGGGACCAACCATTGAACCAAGAGGCAGCTTGGATTTAAGATAACTGAACCGACTTTTGGATAGGGACTTGGTGTGAATATCAGCTAATTGGTCTTGACTGCAAACAAACTTAACCGTGAGGAGATGCGCCAACACCAATTCTCGGATATAATGGTAGTCGATTTCAATGTGTTTAGTGAGAGCATGGAAGACTGGATTGGAAGCAAGAGAGATAGCTGAAATATTGTCACACCATAGATGGGGAACTTAAGAGAGTGGGAAGCCAATGTCACGGAAAATTTTGCAAATCCAAGTAATTTCAGCAGCGGTATGAGCCAAAGAACGATATTCTGCTTCAGTGGAAGAACGAGCCACAGTGGATTGTTTCTTGGCACTCCAGCTGATAAGATTGGATCCCAAAAAGATACAATAACCACTCGTGGATCGGCGATCAAATGTACAACCTGCCCAGTCAGCATCAGAGAAGGCAGTGAGACAAGTGGAACCCTTTTTGAACCAAATACCTTCAGTGACAGTACCCTTAAGATATCGAAGAACCCTCTTAACAGCCTGCAAGTGTTGAGCACGAGGAGTATGCATGAACTGGCAGATTTGATTGACGGCAAATGAAATATCAGGACGTGTCCATGTTAAGTACTGTAAGCCACCAACAATGGACCGATATTCTGTAGGATCAGAGAGAAGAGGACCCGTGTGATCAAGCTTTTGAGAACCAAGTGGGGTACAACATGGCTTAGCACCAACCATATTTGATTTCCTGAGAAGATCCAGTAGGTACTTTGACTGATGAAGAAAAAGACCTGCAGAGGACCGATGAACCTCTAATCCCAAAAAATAGTGCAAGGGTCCTAGATCTTTGACTGGAAAAAGAGTACTGAGCTTTTGAATGAACAGATTGCACACAGAAGGATTAGGGCCAGTTACCAAAATGTCATCAACATAAACAAGAACAATGACTAGTGAATGACCTTGGAGAACAACTAAGGAAGCATCAGAAGAAGACTGCTGAAAACCAAACTGAAGTAGAGCTTGAAAAAGTTTGTCAATCAACAAGCTTTTCAGTTGCTTCTTCTGATCCAAATAAAGCTGGTATGCATCTCAAGTAAGTGTTACTGAAGATGGGACATCAAACTCAGGATGAAGTGATTTCATAAAAACTTGAGCCCCTTGTCTTTCTAAATGGCTAAAAGGAAAATCGTCGATAATTATCATCTCAGTGCATGCTCTGATATATTCTGCTTCACTTAACCACCCTTCCAAAGAATTCTCACCAGAACAACTAGGAACTTGGCTAGTTTCAAAACTCGGGTTCTCTTTCCTTTTGTGCTCTAATCTATGCGGGTTATTTTCAGTCATTTGTCAAATGATTCCATAAAATACTATCTCCGTGCTTCACAGTATCCACACTGAATTCCTCCCCGCAGTAATTGCATTCATATCTAGGCTCGCTAAGGCCATCATTTTCAAGTTTAATGAAGTGATCCCATACCGTTGGTAGTGATCCAGGTTCTTTTGCCTTAAAGCCCGCACTGAATTTAGGAACTGGTGGAAGCTGGTTAGTTCGGGGAGTTTCAACTGAATTAGGATGAGGAGTTGAATCATTTGGTAGTGATCCAGGTTGTTTTTCTTGAACGCCCACACTGAAGTTAGGAACTGGTGGAAGCTGGTTAGTTCAGGGAGTTTCAACAGAAGGATGACGAGTTGAATCATTTGGTAGTGATCCAGGTTGATTTCCTTTTACGCTCGCACTGAATTTAGGAACTGGTGGAAGCTGGTTAGCTCAGGGAGTTTCAACAGAATTAGGATGAGGAGTTGAATCCTTGTCCATCTCAACCCTAAAAATCAAATTGAGCATGGACTTATAAATCAGATTATTATAGTAACAATCAACACAGCATCAAAAGTATCAAACATATCTCACGAATAATCTCAAAGCATCAGAAATTCCAAGCAATCGGAGACCCATTTGTCTGCCTAATGCACTTATGGAACCACCCCAATAGTTACAGAAAAAACACACACACACAGAGCAGTATCCAAACTGCTAAGAGTCCCTTATTTTAGCTTACAAAAGGGGCGCACACACACACACAGAGCAGTATCCAAACTGCTAAGAGTCCCTTATTTTAGCTTACAAAAGGGGCACATTGTGCGCCCCACTCCACAATGTAATTCCCGGTTGTTAGAATCCCTACCTATATAATGGAACTACCCCAATAGTTACAACATATGTAGGCTTGTTAAATGACAATATGAACTACTCGCAACCGGCCTATGTCTATACAACAACAACAACAAAGCCCTTATTCCGCTAAGTGGGGTCCGCAACGGGCCTATATCTATATGACAGAAATTTCCCAAGGCATTAATCTTGGGATCAATATACATGTAAATGAGGTCATCACTATTTTATGGTAATTTTCAACTTATATGCCACAGATAGACTTGCAATTCTAAGAAATGGAAAGCTGCAAATACCCATCACTCAGTTTACAGATTTATGGTTTATCACACACATCCCTAACAAAAAATACAAACTAAAAATTAAAAATAAAAATTCTCCATTTGGGCATGTACAAAAATCATCAAACATGCTAGGTAACAAAAAAGAATTATGCTTTTCATTACCCATAAATAAATTACAGTGAGTTAGGGCATTAAATCTTCCCCAAAGTTTCTAACTTTCAGTTCTATGTAAGTAGTGACGATAAAAATAATAATAATTATGGTAAAAGGAGAAATCAACATTCCAGAAATGGGGTGCATTTAGAAGATAAACTCACCGGTTTCAGCCGGCAGGCCCTGCAAGGTGCCGGAGAAAGTTTCGAGCTTTTGAGCTGGGAGAAAGTTTCGAGCTTTTGAGCTGGGAGAACCGAAAGGGCGGGAAGAGCGGGCTTTCAGTCTGCAGAAATTATAAGGGTAGAGCTTTTTTCCACGCACGGATGCTCTTATACACCCACACGGCCCTACACTAAGAAAGGCTTATTTATTGATTTGTTCTCTTAAATTGCCATTCAGTGCTCTAAAATCAGATTTGTTGCACTTTTGTCTTTTGTCACCACTTGTATTGTCATTGATTTACCATTTCGTATTTTGGAAAAAAATATCTCCTAAAATTGTGCTAAGGGTTGCTAGCCAGTGACAGATTCAAGATTCGAATCTTGTAGTGTTAAAGGTTCAAATGTTTTTTTCATAGAAACAGAAATGGAAAAAAAAAAAAAGGTTTATTCACTTGAGTCTGAGATATTTTGTTGAACATTTGATGAGCTTGTTGTCGTCAGCCGAACTAAATTATACATATGTCAAAAGTTATTGACATATACTGAAATAATATGATGAGTGATATTAAGAGAATTTGTCAAGTGACGCAACCTTTGATAAGCATTTCGTCAATTACTTGGTGGGCAAAAAAGGGATCATATCAAACATTCTAGAGATTAAAAAGACGAATGTTGTCACTCAATACTATAGTCTGGTGGTATTCCTCTTTCGTTTGGAAGTGAGAAGTCTTTGGTTCGAATCTCGTAGATGACGAATTCGATAACAAATTAGATTGCCCATTGTGTGGTATAACCGAACTCCCTTTTCTCTTAATGTAAAAATATCGATGTACTCAAAAAGACGAATTTAGTTACAAGGAAGTAAAATGTGATTAAAAGATAAAGTGGTATGAAATCCACACACTCCTATTTACTTCTCACAAACTCCTTGTTCATTTCTTTCATTTGATCTTCTTTAACTCAGTCGATCTGACACCCGCAAATTAAGAGAGGGTGTATGAAGTAAAATGAGATGTGTAGATAGCACACCCCAAATAAATTCAAAGACAAAACAATAAATAAGCCTAAAAAATTAAGAGTAAATTATAGTAATGGTCCCTTAACTTTAACCAAATTGGAGCAATGATCTCTCAACTAAAAACTCATTACCATTGGTCTCTCAACTCATCAAAATATGTAGCTATGATCATTTTTGTCAACTTCGTCAAAATTTTATTAAAATAAGTTATATTAGAATGACCATGAGTACAATTGGGGTCTCTCAACTCATCAAACATGTAGCTATGGTCATTTTCGTCGATTTTGTCAGAATTTTATCAAAATGAGTTATGTTAGAAAGACCATTGTTATAATTGGGTTAAAGTCACAGTAGAAAATATCGATAATATCGGCGAAATATCGCCGATATTATCGTTTTTTTGGGACCCCGATATTTTAGTAACTATCCAACTTGTTTTCGGCAGAATATCGCGATATTATCAATAATATCGATAATATCGCGATATTTTCGAAATTATCGCGATATTTGGTATGGACTCATCGGAGAACACAGCCGGAGCAAATAATCCGAAACCCTAAATCCCCAAATTCTAATTCAAAGCAAATGAACTGAATCTACAATACAGGATTCCCTAAAATCGATTTCAGTACAAAAATCAACATGTTTACAAGCCGAGAAGAACGATTTCAGTACAAAAATCAAAGCAAATGAACCGAATCCCTAAATCCCCAAATTCGGATTCAAAGCAACTGAACTGAATCCCTAATTCCTAAATCCCTAAAATCGATTTTAGTACAAAAATCAAGCAACATGCAGATAAATCGCAATCTGTACAAAAATAGAAACCCTGATTCCTAAATCCCTAAAATCAATTTCAGTACAACAAAGGTGCAACATGCAGAAAAATTGAAATCTCTACAAAAATTTAAAGTAAAAGTCGAGAAGAAGAGAAGTAGGAGCCTGGAACATCGTCTTCCTCACGAATCCAAGACGGCTGGGACAAGGTCGTGCTCCTCAGTGGTGTCGACGGCTTGGACTACGATGATTTCCGGTCGATCTCCATGGATCAAGGTGGTTTAGAAGGCGGTTATGGAGTGGTGTCGACGGCTGGGTTTAGGGCGGGTGAGATGGGAGGAGCAGAGGGAGACACGGAGACACGGAGACACGGACGAGGAGGATCGAGATTCGAGAGATGATGTCTGTGTATGTGTGTGGAAGAACTGGAGAAGGGGGAAGGGAGGGAGAAGACTGAGAAGTTCTCGGTGAGAACGAAGGCTCAGACCGACCTCAGAGAGAGAAGAGAGAAGAGAGAGATTGAGAGGATTCGAGAATATGGTAGTGGAGTGGGAAATGAAAGATCGAGAGAGAGACCTCCATGTGTGGTGTACGTGTGTGGTGTGCGTGTGTGGTGTGGTGGGGGGGTCTCGAAGTGTGTGTGTGGTGGAGTGTGAGTTCTTCAGTCTTTTTTACTGTCTGAGTGATGGCGTGTAAGAAAAAAAAAGCATCAAATGCTCCAAATTATTCAAAACCAAATCATTCCAAACCTATGTCTACCTCTCTGATCCAATGATCCAAAGAACTTTTTGCAATTTCAGAACATGCACAACAAATACTACTGCTTTCATAATGAAAGCGTGTGACAGTCTTTCACATGCAAAACAGTGTCAATGTCTTTCACATGCAAAACAGTGTCAATGTCTGTTATATACTTACATTCTTTCATCCAGTGGAGTATCAGAGGCATTCACCGAATTTTAACTTACATTCTTCTTCCCATACCATTTTCAAAACCATTCCAGATCCTTTCCATAGCCAAGCAACACAAAGGCTTCCATATTTAAGGTAAGTTTACAAACTTAAATTTATATTATTGTAATTTATACAACAACAAATAAATTTGTGTGGACTCGTATGTTAATTTTTTTAAGTAATTACTTGCATGTTAATTTTTGTAAGTAATTAAGTAATGTTAATATTAATTGTTTTAAGTAATTAAGTAATGTTGTATAATTATTCCCTAGGACAATTTTAATATGTTTAATGTTATTTATTATTTTATTTTCCTTACCATTTTCAAAGTCATTCCAGATCCATTCCAAAGCTTGAACACAAAGGCTTCAATATTTAAGGTAAGTTTACAAACTTAAATTTATATTATTGTAATTTATACAACAACAAATAAATTTGTGTGGACTCGTATGTGAATCTTTTAAAGTAATTAATACTTGCATGTTAATTTTTGTAAGTAATTAAGTAATGTTAATATTAATTGTTTTAAGTAATTAAGTAATGTTGTATAATTATTCCCTAGGATAATTTTAATATGTTTAATATTATTTATTATTTTATTTCCCTTACCATCTTCATTATCAAATTGGATTATTATTCATTAATATTAGGTTTTTTTATTATCAAATTGGATTATTATTCTTTAATATTAGATTTTTTTATTATCAAATTGGATTATTATTCTTTTATATTAGGTTTTTTTATTATCAAATTGGATTATTATTCTTTTATATTAGGAAATTTTTTTATCAAATTGGTGGATTATTCATTAAATTGGATTATTATCA